TTGTGTATTCACAAGAATTGTGCTTTTTTTCTTCTTCTTCTTTACTTCTCTTTCTGTTTTACGTTCTTCGTTTTCATTTTCTTCTTCTCCAGTGGATGCATGAGTTTGTGCAGCATGCTCAAGTATATATATTTTTTCTGTTCTTCACTTCGTTCGGTTTTGAAGAAGAAAAAAAAAATCTCGTATGTATTCGCCTTGTTTTTCGTTTTCTTGGAAAATATTATGAAGAAATTTCCAACAACAACGCCAGAAACAACAGAACGAAATAAATCTTTTTTATACGAATTGGGAGAGAGCGAGAAGAAGAAAAAGCAGCGAATCGTTGAAGAAGAACATAAATCCACACAACGACGAATAAAATTCGAGAGAGAGAGAGAGAGAGAGAGAGAGAGAGAGCAAGGAAAAAAGGAGAAACAGGAGAAAAGATAGAACAGCAAAAGTTCGTCGTTTTATTCTTTATTTGGGCAAACTGATTCAATTCACAGCCAAATAGATGATAATCTTCAAGTTGGAAAATGTTTATACACGCAACAGCAACACACTCACACACGCGGTCATATCAAATCGAATCTCATGGTCATGGAAAATGAAAAGTGTGCATTTTTTTCCCTCAGCGTTCACAGTAGCTGTCGTCTTTAATTTGGTTTTTTTTTTTTGTACATTTTTGGGGCTCGGCTTTAATTTCATTTTCAATTGCTGTCAACTTCGATTTCAGTTTCAATTCGCATCATGGTTGCGTTTCATTCTTTCTTGTCGAATTGCTGCAAAGCCGATTTGATTTAATAATTAATCAAAGTGAAATTGTTTTGTTCCTTTGGAACATCGTTGAATTTATATTTAAAAAGAAGAAAAAAGTTTCGGTGGATTTCAAAAGTGAAGAAAAAATAAATGCATCGAATAGATGTGAATTCATTCAACGAAATCGAAACCAAAGTAAATGTAATCCTCATGGAAAACTCAAACCGAAATCCCATGTTTGAAATGAAAGAAGGCACATTTTGTCGGAGCACCAAAATGAACATTAAATTCTACACTTACAGAAACATGTTTTTTTTTTCTGCCGCCGCCACAGCCGATACTTCTTCTTCTCTCGGTCGCATTTTCTTAAACAAATGTTTGCGCGGGCGTGCGTCAGCACATCCTCACAGATAGTTCTGGTAGCCGACGTGAGCGAATGCTCGACTCACTTGCTCTCTGTATGCATGTGCGCGCGTTTTTATGCCGCTCATTCTTTTTTTGTAAATAAAACTCGAAGAACAAATAAACAAGAACTCCGCGCAAGATTTTCGTTTTTCCAAAACGATATAAATCCCCGAGTGAAACTCTCTCGTTAACATTAGGCAGCTCCGGTAGCTTTGATTGTTTCCGAATAGCGCATCAGCCGCACTATATCCCAAGCAAACCGTTCGTAAAAACAAATCAAATGAGAACGAGAGAATAATCTATTTAACTTTCGATTATCGAAATGAACAAATCTGTTTAACTTGTGTGGTGCGGTAGAACTTCTTAACTTGGTTTTTCTCTCACTCTCAAAATAAATGAATTAGTTGGTAGTTGATAGGCGAAAGTGCAAAGATGGCACTTGGCTCGTGACACTCTAGAAAAACGCATGCGAATACAAATTAACAACATCGTTCTTAGTCCATTTTTCTTCTGTAAAATGAACCAGACATGTTTTAAACATGTGAAAGAACGATTTTTAGAGCTGCACAACAAGACAAAATCAAGAAATATGTGGCAAATTACGGAAGAAAAAAAGACACACACTCGAAAGGTTAAGACAAAAAAATGCGTGCGTGTGCGTGTGTGTGTGTGTGTGTTGGTGTGTGCAACAAAAATGAGATGTGAATGATGAATAAAGGATGTTTGTTAAAGGCAAGGCGAATGCTAGTTGTTAGCATGCACAATGCGCTAATAGCAAAGAGTCATGAAAATTCATCAAGACATATTTATACGAAGTACATAATTGAAAGAGGAAAAAAGGCAACGACAACGACGACGACTGCAAGATTCAAACGAAAGGAAAACAAAAAATAAACGGAACAGGGCCAGAGATCCGAAATTGCGAACGAACGAGAGAGAGAGAGAGAGAGAGAGAGAGAGAGAGAGAGAGAGAGAGAGAGAAAAAGAGAGTGCCCAAGATGGCAAAAAACGCTTCGAGACGCACACGAAAAATTGCTTCAGCTGAGAATAAATAATGTAGCATACAAATTCATTAAAGAGCGAATAATAACGAAACGAACGAAATGAAACTAAAACTAAACTTTAAAAGAAGAACACGAACGAAATATAAGGTGTTTATGTACGTGTGTGAATGCGCATGTTTATATGATAAACGGAATAATAGATATTCACAACGAAAGATGAGAGGCACACGCACAATTTGTTAAATTATATAAAGCATACACATCTCTTGGCATCGGGAACAACAACAACACCAACGATTGCGAGAGCATACATATTTTATCATGTACAATGTTACATTAATATAATCGGCAAACATACGAACGGCAAAACACACAATAATCTCTGTGGCTGTGCTCGCTTCTCCCTCCCTCTTTCTCCCACTCTCTCTCCCTCTCTCCCTCTCTGCCATTTCATTCCCGTCTCTTTCTCTCGTCGTGTGTTATGATTGAGAACAACTGAGAAATTTCAACGGTGAAAATGAGGAGCGCGCGCGGGAGCTCATCGCAACATGACATAGAGGAAGAGCGAGAAAGGAAGAGATATCAAGAACAAGAGCCAGAATAACCAAAGAAATATAGATAAAACCGTCGTCCGAACTACATGGATGCGCAAGCGATGCCGTAAACGCTCCAACTGAGATCTGTGTTTGTGCTTTTGCCTCTCTGAAACGAAACTATACGCTCTCATACATGTTTCTACACACATAATCATAAATCCTTTTACGTTTTTCGGTCGAACGCTCTGTGTCGGCTATGTGCGTTCATTTACTGCGCTATTGTTGCTGTTGCTGTTGCTCTTGTTGTTGTTGTTGTTAATCATCACTTGAACGGCATATAAATAGTTTTGAATGCATAAATCCGCATGCAAAAATTATTCACACAACCGACAACAACAACATCGACGAAGACGATGACGCTGAACTCAAAATCGCGTACGCACATCATGTATACTATGTTGTTTTGTAGCCGTGCGTGCTATCGTTGTTGTCAACGATCAAACCTAATACGAATCATTCGCTCTGTACTCAAAGAATTCGATTTTGTTGGCAAAAGAAAGAATTTTGATCTCAAGTTCCAAGTGTGACTTTGGTTTTCGTTTATCGTTTTGTTTAAAAAAAAAAAGGGTATCAAAATCGATTCGGGCCATTGTTGTCGATTTGCAATCAAATGTTTGAATGTGTCCTTTTGTATACGGCGGGAAATAACTAAAGGCGATCTTTAGCCCGATTCATAAACTACATTTTATTTTAATGTTTTTTTTCTTTTATTCCTTGTTGCTGAGACAATCGTGCATCAACCAGTGAATAAACACCAAGTAAAACCAACCAAAAACACAAATCAGAACACCACAAATGAACAGCTGCGATGGATTGGAGAGAGAGCGAAAGACTCTTGACTTCGAATCATTACAAAAATCTAAGCAGAAAACACATATTATATGTAATGCAAAAAAAAAAAATGACGACAAATGGCAATGGGGAAAAATGATGCAATTTGAAGCGTAATCGCATTTAACAACATTGTTTAATAAGCAAATGCCTTGCAAAAATCGGAATCTGTACTATTGCGACAATAATATAAACGACAAAACGCACGCCCGTCGTCTCTCTGATAACACGATGAAAATTAACGCGATCGCGATCTCCCCCTTCGCACTTTACATGTTTTACTTTCTGATGTAAAATCGAGTGTGATCAATATGAAACAGTTTGGCTTTTGAATGAACGAAATTGCGAATTGCAAACAATCAATGCGGATCGAGAATAAAAATGTATCGTAAACTGTTGTTTGCAGAAACCATTTGAAATGTCCACATGTTTCTCGCACTACATATATATATATATCTCGTTGAGTTTCTATGCCATTCCCAATGATCATGTTATTGACTATTGGATGTGCGAAAATTGTAATACACAATCATAGTGTAATCAAATCGAGAATAAGAACACAAAGTAATCATGATTATTGAAATGTGCGACAGTCAAATGACAAATCGCACCGATTGAACTTCATGGTGACAAACGGCTGTTCTTCCCTCTTCTTCTTCTTCTTCTTCCTTGTCTCGCTCTCGTTCGTTTTCGCATCATTTAAACTGATTGCACAAGATTTTCTATTTTGCAGTAATTTCCCATTAGTTTCAATGACGGAAAAAAAGGCGTAGAAGTGAGCAATAAAGCAAAGAAGAAGGAGAGAAAAAAAAGCGCAACGGGCAAACAAAATCGAAATAAAAGAGCAACGAAAATAAAATGTCACTATGGTCGAGCACACGTACACACTCCTCGCGATCGATTTGTCAGTAAAAATTGCCTGGTTATCGCGTGTGCGCCAAAAAAAACAAATATCAGCAGTATTCATCGAGTCACAGGCTCAGTCAGCGAGCAACACACACAAACACACACACACACACACAAAAGAAAGTCTAATAAAGGGCAAAACCGATTAAGGAAAAATCTATTTTAATTAGGCCGAGTGATTGATGACAAATGAGTACACACACGAAAATAGTATATCTAATCGGCTAATCAGCGCAAATGGTTTCATTCCTTCTCTGTCTTGCACTCGTGGATTTTTTAATGGCCGCCCGCGTCTCGACGAAATGAAAACAGAGACGGAAAAATGACGAAGAAGAAAAAACCGCAAAGTAATTTAATTAACACGGGGTGTTGATATGAAACGATGTGATTTGATTTCTGAACTTTGCCAAAATAATGCAATAAATTTCTAGGCAGAGACAGAGCGAGAGAGTGAGAGTGAGAGATAAAAAGCGAGTGCGCAGAGTTATCGGAAACATCGACTGGATTTTTGTTACATTACCTTTGGGCGATCGATTTCGGTTTTTGATTATGCGATTAGAAATATTTCAATAATAACAACAATCAAAACGTGTTTATTCGATACTTATTTAATCGAAGAGGAGCGCCACCCGACAAACCACATTTACTTCTCTTTTTTTTTTTGCTCTCGCTTCGAACAGTCGATTTGAAACGTTCGATATTATCTTATTTATTATTATAATTGTTGTCATAATTGGCTTCTCGAACTGCAAAGCACGGGCACTGGTCACACAATATCGCCACCAATGACATTAATAATAACAATTGCTTTCTCTTCTGCTCATTGAACGAAAAAAAAAACACACTCTTTACACTGATCGCGTTTACGCACACCAAACGTTTATCTATTTATCTCTCTTTCGGTCTCTTCGCGCTGCTCAGCCTTTTTATTTATATTTATACTATTTTTTATGTTCGCAGTTGTATGTTTTCAAACGTACAAGTTTTTTGTTTTGTTTTATTTCGTTGCCGTTTTTGGTGTTTCAAACGATAAATGTCTCTTTTACTCTTTGTCTCGCGTAATTTTTGATTCACTTTGCATTTGTTTGGCTGGTTAAACATTGTTTTTTATGCATGAACATCGTGGTGCTGTTCTCTTTTCTCATCGGTTTGTTTGGAGTGTCTTTTTCGCGGCGTGTAAATTTCTTAGAAATTATTTTTATATTTTCAATAGCAAATCACCGACGTTGTGGTCTGTAAGTGTGCACATTGATTGGGTATTTGCGCAAAATCCATGTGAATTGCGATGCGAAATAGATAAACAAAATCGATTCGAAGGAAAAAAACGGAATGAACGATGACGGCCCCAACCAAGAAACGGTTTGAACAGTAATACAAAAAAAAAAAAACAAATCATAATAATAATAATAGCAAAAGCAACGACGGTTGAACAGACGATGATGATAAGCGATCGGGCGCAACAAAACCGATCGTTCACGTCGGATCAAAGCAGTTCAACTAATTTTAACAACAAAAAAGTATCAACTCCTTCTTTCAATATCATGATAACCGTAAACTGAACGATCTATCAATTTATATACCATTTTGCAAGTTGTCACTTTGGAACACCTACACCTTTTGTGCAGGTTCTAAGTCACAAACGAAAAAAAACCGGTGGACCGACAAAACACCGGACTGTTTTTTTTCCTCTTCTTGTTGTTTTCCTGTTGATCAACCAAAACTAAATAAATAACCAAATCACACGCACAGTGCAGTCAGCAAGTCAGAGCAAACACCGACAAAATATCATAAACAACATTGTATTTTTGTTCCATCTCTTCAATGCTCTTCATTTCATTCTTCTTCTTCTTCTATTTAATGATAAACAATTTTTGTTTTGTTGGTTTCAAGAAAATTGAAATTTTAATTTACCGATCACACGAAAAAATTACACGTTCGGCAACACAAGTGAATTTAACAGTTTTTCTTTTCGTTTTGAATTTGTGTTTTTTATCTTTTTTTTCTTTCTCACTTTTGCTTGTGTTTTGTTGTTGTTGTTGTTTCACGTTTTTATAATGTACAAACAAATGATATTCATTCAAAAACGAATAAATCACACACTAAAAAACGGACACACGAAAAACAATTTTGTGTTACATTCAAGAAGGTTCATTTAATACTAAAAAATCATGTTGAGCAGAGAACATCGCATACATATGAGACACACAGAACCCGACCGACCGATTCGACAATATACACAGAGAGACAGAGAAAAAAAAAACACAGGCGCATACTACAACAACAACAATCCATGCAGCTCACAATGTTTCTCTCGTTTTAAATTACATTTCTTTTCCTTTTCTTTTCCACATTGAACACAGTACAAGCTAGCGCACTAGTGTGTGTGCCAGTGTGTGTGTGTCTGTGTAAACGAACGAGCAAACGAATGGCTGCGATTGTATGATTCCATACACAGAGAGCAAGCAGCAGCACAGTACAGTATATCAGTTCGGTTGGTCCGTGCGTATTTCATTTCGATAGAGGCAAACGAAACAAGTCATGTAGCTGCAGTGCGCCATACTTGAATTTAGTTTTGAATGCGAATTTTGCTTCAATTCCTTTTTGTGTCATTCAAAACTAATCAAGTGTTGACCAAAATTAAAATTTTACAGATGAAAGAATTGGAAAGAAAAAAATAATAATAAGAATTGGAAGTTTTATTTGAAGAAATGTAACATTTTCCGCAACTATAAATTAGTTTATTTTCACATTTTGCGAAAATGAAGAAAAACAAGCTCAATCCTTCTTTAGCAAAAAGCAAAATACCAAATTTGTCTACTTAACATAATTATTCGTATCGTTTGGGGAAAAAAAAACTCTGCTTTCTAACTGGTTCGAAAGGAATAACGTTAGTTAGCTAATTGGATAATGAATTGTTATCACTGGCTGAGTTCTACATGTATTTTCGTCCAAACCTAATGAAAAGGTGCCACATAGATGTGAATTAGTGTGCGTTAGGTTGTGTATAGGCAATGGAAGCAGACAATAAAAGTATTTGTAGCCAAATCGTAACACAGAGCGACTGATATAAATACGTGCATCGCTGTTGGTTTCCAACGAATGAGAGCTATATGGGCTGTAAGCGCATTGCTGGGTCGGACAGAAGAGTATATATGCTGCTACATCACAACCGTACCAGACAGCCACAGAGATAGTGCGGCTGTGTCGCTAGAGCGAAAAAGAGAAAAGAAGCAAACAATCGCATAAATACAAAAATTCGTGCTCAGCCATACATCTATGTATGCGGATGGCTCTCTGTGAGACTGTGAGACTGTGGTGTCGTCTCTTTCTCGCCGCAACTCACTCTTGTTATTCGTTGGCTACATATGCACAAATGCAAGCAAAGCAGGTTCAAATGCGCTACAGACAAGAACATCATCAGTTCAGCAGCGGCGGCACGCAACACACCAGTGAACTTGTGCCCGTCGTCATCGTCGTCGTGGTCGTTGCTGTCGATCGTTGGTATGGGTGGAATGGATTCCGCTCGTAGTGTGTGCGCATGTGAAGCAATGTCGACCGATAGAAAATAACTGCAGGATGGGAAATGATGTGAGGCGAGAGCGCTAACGATCAGTGTTGTGAAGTCAGTGCATTGCTCACATATGTATGCATACACTACACATTCGATGCAGCAGCAGCAGCAGCAGCAGCAAACACATGCCATATCGGGTGCCCACTTTACAAATGCAAGGTTGCGCTTGTATTATTCGGTGTGCGTCGTTTGTTTTATAACATAAGGGAAAAAAGTAATACTTCGTTGTTGTTGTTTTTTCTCGCTCACTTTGTTCAACTTTTCGAAGTGAAAACATTTTTATTTTTCATTTCGAGATGCATACTTACACATGGCTACGCAAAACTCTCTCTCTCTCTCTCTCTCTCTCTCTCTTTCTTACTCTCTCATACTCTTCGAGTCCATATTACACAATCTAGAATTTGGTCGATGCGTTTTAGTGTTGTTATTTCTCCTACTGTTAGTCTGTCTGATGATAATTATGATGCCACTGTGTGTATCAGAATATATCGTAAGTGCGGCCTGTCTTTTCTATCGCCTTCTATCTATCTCTCTATCTTAGTCACATTCCCTAATACCTCGCTCTAATTTAATACCTACTAAGCGATTTACTCTCTTCGGTGTGGCGCATCGAGAGATAGAGAGAGAGTATGTGTGAGTATTGCCAGGGTTTTACGTACCGATTATTTCCTGTCTGTGCCTTTTTGTGTGTTTAAATCTATTTTAGTTGATTTCGTCTATATATTTCCATTTTGCTGCTTTCGCTCTTTTCATTTGCAATTGAAATGTGTCGGTGTGAGCAGCCGCCGTTGTTGCTGCTATTGCTGCTGGTGGTGGTGCCGCTTCTATCGTTTGTTTTATCTTCTCGTCAAATACTTTACGCATCTATTTGCTTTGATTTCATTCTTCTTTTTTTGTTTGTTCTTAAACACAAAGATTAGTCAGTATGCATTTTATGCATTCTATGCAACGACTGCATTTGATTTGCATACAACATGCCCCCACATGAATTCATGTGGAATACATTACAACAAGTATGGCTCAAGATTCTCTCTCTCTCTCTCTCTCTCTCTGCCAAGTCCATTTGAGTTCTCGCGGACACATCGAGAGTGCCACAATGACAGACAGCGACGCATCGATATTCACACATAAAATATGAACCATGCAAATATTATGACAAGCGCGAACTCATTTATTTGCATTAACTATGTGCGTACATCAAACTAAAGCCATGCTAATGGTTCTCTTCACCTGCGTTGTATTTCGGAAAGGTAATGTTAATTAAGTGGCCGCGACGCTTGTTTGTTCTTCTGAATTGAAATACGATCGACCTGAGGAATTTCAGAGATTTTCTCGTCTGTCACCGTTTCGTTGTGGTGTCACCGTGGTTAAGTATTAACGGACTTGAAATTGAATAACGTGCGACACACATGCTTCTGATTTCATGTCGAATGATTTATGAGCCTGCATTTAATTTCGAGTAAAAGCCTAATCTCGGTAACAGAAAGGTGCTGCATTTATCAAGTTTTCGAATACACGTCGAGAAACCTATGAACCAAAAATTTAAAAAAAAAATTCAAGTTTACTGTCGAACACGTTCGATGCACTCTAATCAGCATGAAACGCATTGCAATCTCATTCCATCGCATCATTCAATGATGCTCAAATGGACTATAATGCAATGTAGCAATGAAGAACGCATTCGAAAAACGACAATGTCGAAATGAGACGAACATTACGAGCCACAAGATGAGCGGAGAACATATATATATATATATATATATATATATTTCATGCGTGAAAAATGACTGATATGTCGAAGAGCTCTGTGTAGCCGCAAAATGTGCGAAAAAATAATATACACAAAAGACAATTTCTTCATGTTTGGTCATTTTTCTGTTTTTTTTTTTTTCGCGTGTGCAATGTGCATACAGAATTCGTGAAGTGTATACGCAGAGACGGCGAGCGAGAGAATATGAGAGAAGTGAATCGATTGTTTCGGTTGCAAGTGTGTGGGCAAGTGCATGCAAATACACACATTGTGTTTACATACACGCACAACTGAGAGCTTCGTTGCATAGAAATGGTTTTTGCTACTACAATTTAGAATCATCTGCTTGTATGTAGGATGAAAGCTTGGTTTATTATACCTTTTTCAAGTCCTGCATTTGCAATAGTGCTTGTATGGGTAAGAATTTCATGATTCTTAATGAAAAAAAAAAATGATAGAAAGAGAAAAAAAACGAATATAGGGAACAGAGAAACAGAGAAAGATTGAGCGGGTGAGGTGAGAGAACGAGGTGCGCTCATAAAAAACATTATTCCGTGATGATTGTGTGTGATGATGGCAGCGATGACAAGTAGTTTTGATCTTGTTAGCAACATCTCGCGTTCACGCTCCTCGATGCATACGCCAAATATTCATGTGTTGTGATGCACATCGCTGTCATTGCAAAGAGGTAGTAGCATTAAGGTGTGGACAAAAATACATACATGCAAAGTTAAATATACGCAAAACACACGAAAAAAAAAATCGTACGACAAAAAAAACAACAAAGTAAACGAGAGAGAAGAATCTGACTCAATCGCATCAAACATAATCGAGCAAACTGTGTAAAACAATGTAAACCGGCCATTTCACACGAAATCAGACAAGAGTTGTGGTGTGGATGTCACAGAATTGACCGAAAATTTGAACGGATTATTGTTTCGATCACACACAGAAAAGTGACACTAATACACTCATAGCATCTATATAATATTTGACTTAACGGATTC